CTGCGGACCCCAAGAAGCTCCTCAGGAAGATGGTGCTGCAGCAGCAAGTGGCGCTGCCGCCCGCTGCGGAGGCTGCAGCGGCCGCAGCAGCAGCCCCGGCGCTGGAGGACCCGCGGCTGCAGCAGCAGCAGCAGCAGCAGCAGGAACAAAAGACGCGGAAGCACACCGCGGACGGCCGGAAAAGAAAAAGTAGCAGAGCTTCTCTCGGATCTGCGGGAGGGGGGGATCTTTCCCTGCGGCTGTCTCGGAAGCAGCAGCAGCAGCAGCGAGAGAACTCCAGGGAAAGGGGGTTAAGTCTGAAGAGAGGCAGAAAAAGACTTCATAAGAGCAGCAGCCACAAAGAGAAGCATGCGCTGGGCAAAGAAAGACCCCACAGAAAACAAACTCTGATCGTAGCACAAGAGAAAGAAGGGCGCATTCAGCAGGAGCAGCAGCCCCCAAGCAGCAGCAGCCGCAGAAGCAGCACCAGTGATTTGAAGTGGCCAGCCGCGACTGCAGCAGAAAGCGCCAGCTCCCCTTTGCAGCACTCTGGGGCTGATGATGCATGCAGTGGAGGTGAAGAGAAAAATGCCTCCACAGATGAGAGTGTCTTGGCCCCAGATGCAAACGGCAGTGAGTGCGAGTGCTGTTCAGCCTAGTTTCCTCAGTTAGCAGCAACGCCTCAGCAGCAGCAGCAACAGCAGCAGCGGCAACAGCAGCAGCACCAGCACCAGCAGCACCAGCACCAGCAGCACCAGCAGCAGCAGCAGTGGTAGTGGTAGTAGTAGAAATATTCGTGATGGGCACATTAGGACCACAGGGTGACCACTGGTCTTGTCTAGCTGCTTCCATTCTCGTTGTGCTGCAGAAACCCTCATAAGACAAGAAGAAGCCACATGGCGGGGAATTGGTCCAAGCGACGCCATGCAGGTGGGCTTGCATGCGCAGGCGCAAAATATATAGAAAGCATAAAAAGATGCATGCATTTGCATATGTCGGTGAATACATTCAAGTTGTGCTTTTTAAATGTAATTGGATGCTTATCTGCCAAGTTCTTCCGAGTTTCAGTCTTTTGTTCTCACTCACATGCACAAGAAGTATATCATTGTCATTCATAATATTTGAACGAAGATGATATGCGGAAACGTGCGTTTCTGCCCTTGTGTGTGTGTGCCTTGCCATGGCATCTTTTCCATCTGCATGCCTATTTAATGCATTTATAAATAAATGTTATGGTTAGTTAATAGATATTTCATCCACTGAGCATTTTTTTGACTTGCAGCCCCGGCATAGAGAGCCTCTGGGTGTGTCAGTGTTACACGTGCTGTGCGTGTTGGCTTTTGGGAGTTATGAATCTGTTCGAAAATAAACATCATGAAACCCTTTTTCTTTTTTTGGATAGATAGTTGTATTTCTTTTTCTGTTTTGGTTTTGCTGTAGCTCGCTGTCATCCGCCAAGGCCGCCGGCTCGTGTCCTGTAGGCTGCGGCTGAAGGCAGGCTTTGTGAAGGGCCCCGACAATGCACAGAAAAAGGAAATAGTGAGACTCAGCTTGCTGCTGCGGCTGCTGCGCTGGTGGATTGCGCTGCTGCTGCTGCCTCTACAGCAGCGTGTCTTGCTGTATCTCCCTCTAGCTGTTTGCTCTATCTCGTGCCTTGTTTTGGTCTTTGCCTCATTCTTGTCTTTCTGGAGGGAGCTTGCATGCATGCAGTTTGGCGTAGTGCTCTCGGGGGGCCCCCTTGTACTGTCGGTGCACGGGGAGGAGTCTGAGCTGCTTTGTGGGGCTTTCTTTCAAGTTGCCCCGCACGAAGTCTGGAGCCTCAGGAACGACCAAGAGTGAATTGCACTGCAGCTGTCGTCCCATTGCAGCTGCTGCTGCTGCTGCTGCTGGATTTGCTTCTTTAGTGGCTGTGACAATAGTCGCCGTTGCTGCAGTTTTGCTGCAGATCCTCATCAGCTGTGCAGAATGTTCAGCAGTAGCAGCCAGCGTGAGGATAGCCTGAGACTTTGTCGTTGTGTCTGTCAGCTCAGTTGAATGCCACTTCGATTTCTTTCCCAGCATTCTTTGTGTATTTGCGTGAGTGCGTGTTGCGCAGGGATGGCGGTTACGCGGAAATCTACCTTGCATGCGTTTTGCTAGATGCCGCTGAGTGACGACACTGGTTGCTGCTGGTGCAGGAGCTGCTGCTGCAGAATGAGCTGCTGCTGCGGCGCCGCTAGCTGCAGCGTCTGTCTGCCACCAGTTTTACTTTGGGGCTTAGTTGTGCCTAGGACTTGTTTGCAAGTTACAACAAGTGCGTGCATGGACGCAAACGCATGCAAGGGTCGCATGCGCGTGACGAGGGTGTGGTGCTGCTGCTGCTACCTTTTTGAGCTCAGAATTAGCAGCAGAAGCAGCGCATACTGTTGGGTCGCGTCAATCAATTGTTACTGTCGCGTTTTTAGCTGACACGTCTGCAACTGCACGTAATACATGTTTGCAAGAAATACTGCGGCGCATACGTTGATGTGTGGGAACGAAATAGTGCGCATACGTAACATGCATATTGTATGTACTTGTACACACACATACGTGTATTTGTTTCTCACAAGCTTCAAAAGGGCGTAAAGCACAGAGGCAGATTCGCCCAGCAGTGTCAGCCGGTGCTGCTATAGGTTTCTGTACAACTACGGGGCATTCCCCCCCTTATCAAAAAAGTCAATAGGGTCGCTAGCAGCCTCTGTTTGTGCGCGTGAACGCGAAGCAGGGACGGCTTTTGCTGCAGCTGTCTTCTCCCACTTTCCAGACTTCCGCTGCAGTGGGTTTCCTTCGCTTCACGGAACTGTTGCGGAATCTCCTTTTCCGCCATTGTTTCCTGGGACGGAGAGGTCCACTATCTTTCCGCCAAAGTTTCCTGGCGTGGGCGTGTGCTTGGCACTGTCACAGCATGATAGCGATACCGGGGGACGAGGGGAAATGCTGCTGCTGCTGGTGCCCCTGTTCGTGCTGCTGCGATGTGGCCGCTGCTTCAAATGATGGGGCCGGCTGCGATAGCGAGGCACAGTTCAAACACTGGGTTACAGTGGAGAGGCTTAGACCGGCTTGGGCCCGTTGGGCTGCTCCTCCTCCCTGGCCTCCTCCAAGATCTGTTCAAGAAACCTGACGAAGCAAATGGCGTTGTCTGTAGTGTCGAAGGCCACGGCGATGGCCCGGCCAGAAGTTGATAGTCTGAAGCCCACAACCTTGGGGTCTTTGAGTAGCTTTGCGTCTGCTGAGGCCTGGTCCACTGCTGAGGGTCCGTAGATCCACGAGTCAATATCTTTGTACGGTATAGGCCTCACCTTCTCCTTGAAAGATAAAGTCAGGGTTTTCTTAGCTGAGTCCAAAGTCAACCTGCACTCTATCCGCTGGCCATCGGGAAACAGGACCTCCACAGTGTTACCCTCAGTGTACTTCTGTAGCCATGCTGCGTACACCCGAGGCGGTACATCCTTCAAGCCCGCAAGTGCCAGTTGCTGCAGCGTCACGTTTGCCTTGTCCTCCTCTTCGAAGCCGCAGCACGCAGAATTCCCCATAGTGCACCAATTTTCCGTGTTTTTCAGGCGGTGTGCGCTGCACAGGCTGCTGCACTGCAGGCTGGCCGCTTTGCAGGTTGCTGCAGAAGGACCCCAGCACCCAGTGCAGACCGAAGTTTGTGTCACAAAAATTGAGTAGATGCCCCAAAAAGAAGGTGTTTGAATGTCAATTGAGCCGTTATATTGAAAGAAGGAAAGAGAAGACGAAATGTGCAGCAGAAGTCAAGGGCTTATCGGAGCCGTGTCAAGCTGCCTTCGCTGCAGAACTGAAGCAAACAATCCGATGCGGCCACTGTATCTCAAACCAACAAAAGAACGTTTCGAATGAGTTACATCAAACAATGCTTCCTCTTTGGAACAATTTCAAACTCAAAACCGTGAAACCGTGGCGTCCGTCAGCGGACAAAGCCCGTCAGCATCCAGCTGCACTGGAGCCCAGAAGACACTTCAGGATGCACAAACACTAATTTCGCTTTAATTAATTGAATCCTACTTTTAATAGGCGACTAATTAATATGGCATTGCCTGAATGAAGACCATATATGCAATGCAATTTCCACTGCGAGGGTCAACGGGTGGTACAGGAATGGTCTCACTGGTTCATCTGTCGTGAACTCTGGATGTTCAGTTGAAGAGCATTGATATTTTGACTCCTTAGCTATACAGTAGTAATGTGATCCTATCAGCATTCACAAAACATTGAATTCGGATCTGCACATACCCTATCCATTACTCTGGGAGTGTGCGGCACCTTGGGTATCAACTGATCTCCATTCTCAACGTAGACGCCTTCATGAGTCCTTTTTGAAGTACTCGTTTCTCTGCCACTGAAATATCTCATAGTTTCGTTTAGCTTTAATGTTACTGATTGGCCACGGTACTGTCGCCAGGTAACCGGGTCCTTCGCTCACAGTGCAAGTGCCCGGTGAGAGCAGGATAAAAGCAAGTGGACTATGATTTGCAGTTGTGGAAAGTGTGCAGTATCGTAGCATTCTATGAGAAATAAAGCGTTGAATAAGAGGACGCTGTGTCTACCTCTGGCGACAAATCATTTGATGGGCACTAATTCCAGTTGTTGGACGCAGTGACCAGCACGGTGGTGGACACAACACTACAACTAGCTTAAAGTGTTTTCACGTGTAGCCTATTGATAGCTCATATGAAGCAGGATAAGTGCTTCGAAACGTGTGAACGGCTCGCGGCGTCGCAAGAGTACGGAAGCTGCGCCTTGTAATGCGTTGCATATCTGCTAAAAGCAGCACCTGCTCGTTCACTGTTCATCTCTGGATTTCGCCCCTCAAATACCTAAAGGTCTTGATTATGGTGCAATCATTTGTTCATGCATTTGTCGGTCCGGCAGAGGCTGTGCATCGAAGCACTCCCGCAACCATTTGTCTGGCCCTACGGCCTGCAGTTAAACGTCTGCCTAGAAATCCCTTCGAAATGCAGCTATGACGTAGCTGCTTGCACAATAGGAAACATCTTGTGTGCTAGGCATAAAGAAGTGAAGCAAATGCTGGGTCTCGCAAGTGCCCTTAAATACGTCGCTGATCTCTTCCTACCTTGTATATGTGGTCTGCAACTAATAAGTGCTTTTCAGCTGTTCCACTCACAATCCAGTGTAGGCACGCTGGAGCAGATGGAAGCTTGCTCTTGTCTCGCGCCGGATCTGAACTCTTCAATGGAACAAATCGTGTCACTAGAGGCTGTGTATACGTGGATGCTTCTGTACAACAGCTTGAGTAACCATCTGGCTTGTCGAGCATTTGCTGCTTCGAAACAAATGTTGATTATGATGGCCGTTCAAGCCGGTATTTCCCGTTCGCTCACTATCGGCAGTGAAGTATGAAGCGGTTGCTTTCCAGTTTATTGCATCGCCTAAGCGAAGAGGCACTCAATTCCCCGAATGGCTCAAACTCTTGGTGAAGAGAAAATTGTGGTATTTGTCCTGCACAGTAAGTGCGAGATAGCGCCAATCGTCTTTAGGTGCCTCAGAGGCTGCGTGAACGTTGAAAAAACACGCAAAAGAGGAATTCGCCTGCACTCTCTTGCCTGTTACCAGGGTCACCTCACTAATAAATCGCGTCACGAGCGCTCTTGTAGGCGTTTACTGTATGGAAAAGTTTGTCAAGGAACATGATCAATTCTTGTTAACTTAATGACTAGGGTACTGTGATTTTCCAGAGGTTTTGTGACTGGAATCTTGTAGTCCGCAGGTGCCTATGCTCCAGGCAATGCATCAATGGTTGAAGCAGACACTTTATATGATGTCTCTGGCATGCGATGCGTTGCGCACTGCATTGCAGTGAAGCCCGTTCCAGGCTTCTGTAACACTTGTCGCCTTTTTCAAGCAGCGGGTCCTTTTGTCGCTAGGAACCGGAATTTGCCCTGTGAGTGCGAGCTCCTTTGGCACCGGTGGTAGATATAAGTTTATCAGGAGTGCGCAACTCACCGCATTTGCTTTTGGTTCAGTGAGCGAATTCCGTGTATGATGAACAGTAGAGTTTGGTCTTTTCTACTATATCAGTCATGTATTTTCATTGAATGTAAATGAGCGGCTGGATTCTAGTTTGGAGATATCCAAGTGTTCAGTATATGAGCGTTTTGTCACTGCCAGCCTTTAACTCATTTTGTCGTACCATTGATACTGTGAACGCCCGTGATACGGTCAAAAATGAACTACTGATGTACTGCAGCAGTTCTCCTCGACGTGCTAGGTAGCTACTACCTACTACTGGATCTGGCGTCACGCCCCTCTTCTGCCTGGTGGTCGCAACGCACAGATTCACGCTCAAGTATGATTTGACGCGTCTGCAAGATTTGTTATGCCATTCACGCGAACAAGCAAACACGTTCCTTTAGTGGCGTAGACATTTCGGCAGGCCAGACACTCCTTCATTTTATCTTGCGGACAGGCACCTGCTACCTTGCATAAAGTACTCGCTGATACGTTAACTTTGAAGCTTTTTGCGATGCCTTCGCAGTGAATTGCTGTAGCTTAGCTGTGAACTCTTATGGTCTGCGAAACACTTGACCTTTCGCAGGGAATAACAGAAAAGATGCCCTCACTAAAGCCTTGCGCCACTGTGAAGTAGCTGACGTTTGAAAGCTCAAGTATTGCTTGGTAGTCTTCAAAATAATCATGTTTGCTTTTTGTAAGTGTCTTTGATGTACGAAAGAGATATGCTTCCATCACTCTTCGGCTACCAATAACTCCAGGTATGACCTGTGTATAACTCTGTGTTTAATATTCAAAAGCATGAACCAGGATTGCGCTTCACATTGGAGTAAGCGAAAACGCAGTTTCGCCTCCTGAAATGTTTGGCGGGAACTATGAATTCAAATAGCAGCAGGCAGGTTCTATGAAACTGAATTTTTGTTTCCTTCTACTCATACAGAAAGGTACACTGCAGAAGGCGACTTTTGGGAAGCTGATTGCGGAAAATTACAACGAGGAGCAGTTGGTTGCTGTTTAGAGTAGCTTGCTGCAACTAGCAGCCAGTTCCTACTCTTGGCATCTCTCGCAAAGATGGAACTACTCACAGAGTGCGTGTTTGCATGCGGTGATTTTGAAGCAACTGCTGTGGACAGTGAGATAGAGTCTAAAGAATTCCCTTCGCTAGTCAAGAGGAAAGGTATGGAGAATGAATGGCGTATAACTAACGGCAACATTACCGCAGTAGAGCTTCTGATTCGCTTGAGCTTATATGCTAAAACACATATTGTTCTTACGTATAAACGCGTAACAACATTGAAGTGCGGAACACATTTTGTAACTGTTGAGTTACAGCCGCATTGTGCTTCCCTTGGCCCCTTCCAAATTGCCAAAGCGGCTGTCCGGGTCAAATCATTTGTTTGAGCCTCGGTGAAACATATGTATCTTGGGTTGCTACACATTAAGCCCTACATTCTAGCCTCTCAGCGCTAAATCCATTTCCCAGAACACCAGCGTCGACGTGAGCAGCTGCGTTCATCCAGAAACCCCCAAACCCAAACCAGTGCAATGCGTGATCAAATGAGTTGGGATGCATTGGAAGTGAGACTTCTGAGTCACCGCAGAAGGCTAGTCTCTTCCAGTCAAATTTACGGGATCATTGAGTCTGTGAGGCCCCACACCAAGCCTCACTGTGTGAGGCTGTGTCACAGCATGATGAAGCTTGAGCATTCTTAGCTTTTATTTCCTCCATCTGAAAATATCGTACACTAATTCCTGCTGTTTCCGCTGTTTACTGCCCTATTGGCCCTCATTGGGGAGCCGGTGACCCATTGCTCAGGCACTGCAAAGCCCCATTTCCTTTTCGATTTTCTCTTCCCTGTCTTTTTCATATCAGCCTTAATTGCCCATGAACTGCACATAAGCCGCTCAACAGCCCATATCGGGCCTCATGCAGCCCCAGGGAAGGGCCGACCTGCTCACTCACATCCCTGGTCTTATCGACGGAGTCTTCGAAGCAGCAAGGACCAGCTACCAACCCATCCAGATCCCCTTTTGCTAAGGGCTGATGTTCAGGGGATTAGCTTTGAAGGGCTAGAATTTGGGGTTTTCTTTCTCAGCTTCGCCATGGCGGAGGGCACTGCCTTGGCGCAACAGCTGAGTGCTGCCGCCAAGGGAGTTCAATTAGGGCGTGAGGGTGTTCAGGGGCTGGTGGGATGGCTGGAGCCCTTTTCTGTTGCCTTGGGTTACCCTGATGCTCCTTCAGTGCCTCAGACGAAGCTAGGTAGGAAGGCGGCTACTGTGCGGGAGCGGGCTCAGCAACAGCTGCTGCAGCAGGAGCAAGAGAAGCTCCCGCAGCAGCGTCAACAGCTGCGGGAGCTGCTGAAAGGATATAGTACCGCTTCTCCCGCTTGCATTGAGCTGCTGCAGCTGCTTGATGCATGCACTGGTCGCCTGCTGCAGGCAATAGCAGAGGTTACTAAGGCCGGCCAACGAGGACTGCCCGAAGGCATAAGTCCCGCTGCTGCTCGCGTGCAGCAGAAGCAACATCAGCAGCAACAACAGCTGCAGCAGGAAACGTGTGAGGTTGACGAGGCAGCGCGAGGGGCCCAGGCAGCCTCACTTCTTGCATGTGGCATTCTGGGGGAGACGAGCCTGGACTCTGTTCCTGCTGCTGCAACAACACGCCACCGCCTTGCTGCTGCTATCACGTCTCCCTCACGTTTGTCGTCTCTGAGTACAGTGCTGCAGCCCTTTCACCCTGCTGCTACAAGGGACAACGGAAAGCACTGTGCTCTGCTGCATTTGTGTGTCTGCCGGCTCCTGGCAGCTGCTGCTACTTGTTCACCAGCAGCAGCGTGGCGCATCGCTTCGGCGGCCCAAGGGGCAACAACAACAGCAGCAGCCGCAGCAGCAGCAGCAGCAGGATCCATTAATGGGGTTCTTCACAGCTTTTGTGAGAGAGACGCACAGCTGCACCCCCTTAACCAGGCCCTCACTGCCTTGTGCGAGGGGCCTTCCCTCCGTTTGCTGCAGGGGCGCAGCATCAGCAGCAAACGAAGTGGGGCCTCAGTGGAAAGCAGCCTGCTGCCACCTGCGCCCAAGTCCCAGAGCTGCTGGTGTCAGTGCCCTCAATGCATGAGTTCCGAAGCAGCCGAAGCAGCAGCAAGGCATACTGGGGACCCGGAAAGTATCCCAAAAGATCACCAGCTGATAAGCTCCACGAGAGGCTGGCATAATGCGTGGGGAGCTTTCTTCGTTCGGTGCTGCTGCCTCTCCTGTCGTTGCGAGACTGCCTTGAGTGGAAGCGCGAGGACGCCAGTAACAAAAGCCAGCGGTCCCGCTGCAACTGCTGCTACTGCTGCTGACTTTGGGACGAGGCGACACTTGGAAACTGCTGCTGCTGCAGCGGCTTCTGCTGCCTCCGATGTACGCTCAACTCTCGAGGCCTTTCGCTCTCGATCTGCTCGGGAAGGTCTCGGCGGCTGTGGCCTTGTGCCCATTCGTTACGCTCTGCGACAAGAAGCCCTGCGGCTGCTGCTGGTGCTGTTGCTGCACCAAGATTCGTTAGTGAGCGATGCTTTGCTGCAGCCGAGAAGGCGTCAGCTGCAACAGCAGCAGCAGAAAGCGGTACCACAGTCAGGCGTAGGAGACCTTGCTTCTACTAGCAGACAGGGGGACGGCTCGTCGCTGCTGCGCTACGCTATACGCGGCCTGTGCACAGACCGAGAGCTCGACGCACTGTGCTTCTTGGTGGGTTTGTTTGAAGTGTTTATGGCGCGGCCAGGGCGCTCTAGAGAGGCAGAGGCAGCAGCACGGAGGCTCTTTCTCGTCGCCGGGCCTGGGGGCTTCCCACTTCCCCTGCTGCTTCAGAGGTTCACGGCTAGAGAGGATCTCAACCACTTATTAGTGCCGCTGCTGTCACGTTGCAGGGCCTCCTGCCCAGTGGAGACAGACTCAGCAGCTAAATCACTTTCCAGGAGAAGTCCGCGAAATAGTTTACTCTCTGACGCTGACAATTCTTCAGGGCTTCCAACTTCCTTTTTCAGCAGCTCGTGGGTGCTGCAGCGGCTACTTGCGTACCTACTGCTCCTAGCAGCAGGCCGAGGCGGCAGCAAGGCGCCTTCAATTTCCGGGTTCCCTGAAGAGGCAAAGGCTTTTGCAAGGGAACCGGGTCTTACAGGATCTATTGATTCAGCACTGTTATCTTTGGCCCTGGGGATACGACCGTTGCATTTGCCCCCACAGCAGGAACTGCTGCTGCAGCTCTTTAAGGCTCACCCTGCCCTTACATCTCACTTCCTCAACAAGCTGTCCGGGTTGCTGCTAAGTCCACGGCAGTCTGCCACGTTTGCGCTTTCTTGCCTGTTCCTCTGCCGCATACTTGGGACCCCTTGGAGCCAGCTATCGTACTACTGGCAGCGGCAGGACCAAGTGGAACAAGAGCCTCCCATTTGTGGTTCGGGACCGGATCTAACGTTGCCTGATGGGGATATGAGCTTTGCTTCAGTCAGTGAAACAATGAGAACCCTTGGGGTGGCTGACGATGAAGAGAAAGAAAACCTTTTCGGTGACCTTGAACCCTTGCGGCTACGGCATTCGCAACAACAGCACAAGCAGCAAGACGCGCTGCAGCGGAGGTGGCGAGCCGTGGCTCTTGAAGTGGCCCGAGTGGCATCACCAGCGCTGCTTCTGCGACAGCATTTGTCGCAGTGTCTTCTTCAGACAGACACCCGAGTGGCTTTTTGCGGTATTGCCGTCTTGCGCGCCTGTTGCCAGGCTCTGCGATGCATGCACGACCGCTTCAAATACAGTCCAAAGCTGCAGCATCTTCTCCTGGCGCAAGCAGCCCTCAGGCTGCCAGACGCAAAGACCCTGGTAAATTCTCTTTTGCGGCTGGTCCAGCAGTGGCAGCAACAGCAGCAGGGCCAGCAGCAGCGGCATGAGTCAGAAAAGATAAGGGATCCACAGTCTAATGCCGTGGAGGTGACGGAGGATCGTTGGCTCTCTGACGAGGCTCTCGCGAGGGCAGCAGCAGCTTCTGCTGCTTCTGCCGCTAGAAGATGGCAAAAAGAAGAAAGCGAAAGACTAAGAAATGGTGAACCAGAGGAAAGTGATGGCGATGACGTGGAAGTGCATGTAGAGGGAGTGGGGGATGTAGAGGGGGACGGGAGCAGTACAGATGGTGAGGATGCAGGAGGTGAAACGAACCACGATAATCTTAAGGCTTCTCCAGCGGAAATGGGTGTAAGTGTCAAGGACTTGATGCAACTGCTCGTGCGGCTAACAGCGGTGGACGATAAGCTGAATGGGTACCAGCTCGTGTCTGATGATAGCCACGTGGAGGCCGAAGAATGCGATATGGACTTTAATTCCTTCCAGTTTCTACGTGGGTGAGTACAAAATGGGCGCCGATAAAGCTGAGCCCTCTTTCGCAACGCCATGCAGGCCAGATCAGCATGTTGAGAGTATCGAAGGCATGATGCTGCACGTGGCAGCTGGGAGTCAATGTAGCATGTATGGGCACTGAACACGCTATGTAACGGGCAGGGGCATTTGCTGGATCTCACTGTGTGTTGCTTTTGGATAAGTACGCGCAGACTAGCACAATGTGTACACATTGTCGCACATTTGCAGAAGCCAATTCACATAAGAAACAATATTCAGAATTCGGCCAATGCATACAACTTTGCGCGCAAATGAGCCACAGTAGGCACACGCATTAATCGATATTAGCTAATTCGTGTCCTCTTGTTTTGGCTTTAGGTGGATGGAGACAGCAGAGATTTATCAGGAGTTGCTGACGCCATCATTTCCTCTTGACTGGGGCAAGCTGCTTTGTACTTGGAGGACGGGAGACGGCGCAGCTCAGTCCTTCCGTCTTTGCTGCAAGTCCCGGGTGATCGCAACTGACATAGCGCGCTTAGCAGTGCAATCGAGGGGCGGCATGGAGAGCTGGGGAGGTGAAATAGCTGCTGGGTGCTCAGTGTCAAAGCAGCAGCAATTGCTGCTGCTTCACCTGCTGCTTCAGTGGCAACGAAGCGTGAAGCGCAGCCGCTCCAGAGAGTCGCTGGGCCCATATGGGGGCGAAGTTTCGCTGTGTTCAGACGCTCTGCTTCAAACTATTCTGCAGTGAGCTGACGTCCTGTTCTGGTTACCCTAGACCTTAAACCCTTTTTCCCGACGCGTTTTGGCAGGCGCAGCGAATGGCTGTGACGGCGTGAGAGCTTGCAGGGGTTGCAGATACGACTTTTTGTGACGCTTTTAGTATCATTATGCGGGAAGAAGGGATGGACGTTATGTGAACGAGCGAGTCTTGGGTGCATGCAGGTTCATGCATAGGAGTGGCATGTTCAGAGGGGCCACATGCGAGACACCTGAGATTGATGAAGCGTCTTTGTGGCTTGCCGCTTTGGCGGAAAGCTCGTGCTTCCGGTGCAGTGCCCTCTACTTTGTAGCAATCTTGAGGCTGGCGAGCGAGCAACGGTTGGCTCTGCTGCCGTATACGGAAATGTGTATGGGCAGGGACATGAAGGAGATGGAACAAGAGGGAGGAGAGATCAAAGAGCTGTCAAGCCCATCCCTGTTCTCGGCGGCTCTGCTAGCACACCTGTCAGTGGCCCCTCGTTGCAACGCCGGTAAAGCTCTCTTTGTGGAGCTTGCCCCCTTAGGTGTAGCGGCGCCGGAGGACAGCTGCTGGGGCTGCAACGCAATGCATTCGTCAGAGTTCTGTGCTGAAGCAGCCACGAGCTGGGCCGTGCAGGGCTTCATGAGATGCTGTATTCTGTGTCCCTCAATAATCTACCCTCTCTTTAGAGCCCTGCAGGCCGAGGGTCCGTGGCGCGTTCTTGGCTCCTCACTGAACGTGAGCCGCGAGCTGAATTCACCAACTGCGGTGGAGGCTGCTAAGGCTGCCGCCGCTCAACATCCCCAGAGCAAACTCATCAACAGATATCGTAAGCGACTTCTGCGCTTTCTAGAAGTCTCTTGCCAGCCACATGCTCAGGAGGCCAGCGAAGAGGGGGATGATGCTTCTGGGTCACAGACTCTGGACTATCAGCTCTCGCAACTGCCCTTTGTGTCATCACAGCTGTCCGCAGATTGGGGACTCCCTTCCCCAGTACATGCAATCGCTCCAGAGGCGTTACTGAAGATATGTGCGGCTCGTATCCCGGGTGCTTCTTCCATGCCTCGTGGCCCAGTTGGATCTGCAGAGCGCGCCAATTGTCTGGGGCTTCTGCGTGCTCTGACGCGGCATCTTGACCAATCACTGGAGACGGAGGCCTTTGTAGCGACACAGCCGTTGGAGAAGCTCATAGAAGTAAACCAGCAGACGCGGGATCGGCTGTTGGCATTGCTGTTGCAGTTGGAGGCCGTGAGCCGTCACCTAAGCAACATCCAAGCCACGGAAGGCGCAAACCACTGCCTGGAGGATGGCTACAATGAGATGCGTTTTGTTGTGCTGCCTGTGGGTGCCGAAAAGGCAGCCGCATTGGAACAGCTTTTCCAGCTGTCAACAATAGCTCTTGGCCGTTGTGAACACCTGTCGGAAGGGCCCGCGGACTCCGTCCGAAACAATAAGCCGCCTGTGACACAGGCAGAACGTGACGGACGGAAGAAAGGCAGGTTTGAGCCGTCATTTTTCACTAAGGACTTTAAACACTGGGTGGAGTTGGGGGCAGCATTATGTGCCCACATGGCAAACCTATTCGAGTTGACCGCTGCTGGAGTGGCCCTACAAGAAACCGCCGGTCTGCGGCTGCTCTGTCGCAGTGTGGAGTTCTTCGCTGCATTGGTGTGCGCGGAAGACCAGCTGACCCCTGAGGCACAATCGGCTCTCACCTTCGCTGCATGCATCAAACGACTGTGCCTCCCTGCTCTTAGTGATCCCATTTCTGCGCGAACAGAAAAGCCAACCAAGCATTCACAAATAGAAGACACTCAAGGGGGGCCATTGCAGGCACTTTTGCTAGGCCTTGTTCGTCGCGTTGCGAGAGCCGCGAGGCCTTTCGTGTCGGAAGATGGACGACCGTTGCTGTTATTGGCCTGCGAGTCAGTGCTAACAAGCAAGGACAAGATTTCATGTCCTTTGCCGTCAAGAACAGCAAAAGCACCTTTGCATCACCTAGCATGGGTGTTGCCCCTGGTAGAGTCCTGGGGACTGGCGGCTATACCTGCGCAACACAGAGGAGTGGAGGAGGCGATCAAGCGGCTTACATACGAGGAAAAGGCTCTCACGTTGTCCCTTGTGTTGCGCGCGTGCGGGGAAGCCCCAGTACAGTCTGTTAGCTTGGAATCGGCCGCCGATTGCGTTCAGAGGCTACAGGCGTTGCCTTTGTCTATGTGTCTCCGGCTCCATTGCTTTTTGAAGTATCTGTGGGGGCACCAGAGAGCAGAGCATCGCGTTGCAACGCTGGAGACGGCGTACCAGCAAGCCAGCTCAGAGGATGCTACTGCCGCTGCAGCTGGTAGGTGTATACTGGATGCCGCTGTACGGGTCATGTTATGCCTCTGCTTCCAGTGTATCCATGCATCAAGCTCGCTGCGAGGTGCTGAGGAAAGTGCAACGGCTGGCGACAGCGCTGTGATTATTTTTAGACAAGGGCTCATCAGGACACTCCGTGCTTGCTGGGACCAATACGCTGTCCTGCGCTATGCGTGCACAAGACTGTTTTTGTTGTCAGAGGAGAAAGCAGAGAATGCAACATGCCCTGTACTTCACCCGGCGGTGCGCCTGGCGCTTCTCCTGCAGTGGCGAGAACCAGTCCAAGGGCTACCAGCTCCGTTCTACCCCTCTGTGGTTGCTGCCCTGGAACAGTGCCAGGAAGAGCGGCAGGAGGGCAGGGCGGGTGCGAGTGCTGACAGCAGGAGCACACGAAAAGGACGGATACGGGGAACAGGGCCGACGAGTGCGACGACGGACGGCGCCGAGTGGGCAGCCGATGTGTTGGAGGCATTGAAGTTGACGGCATATGCGCGTGACAGCAGCGGTGCTAACAGCAGGCGTGTCCGAGCCAAGGGAGCTCCCTGGCAAACAGCGGCGGCTTTTCTTGGGGACAGATGGGGTGATGCAGAGGCCAAAGACTTGGCCACCGACGCCCCTGAAAGGTGGGCTGCAGCAGTGCAGCAGTTTCTCACCTTCCTATGCGTGCAGCAACCAGGAGGTTACACCGCGGCGCGCCTTGGGATGCAGCTGGCGCAGGACCTCGAGAGTATTACAGGGAGGCTAGATGATGACTTTGTGGTACAAGAGGGGTGAGGCATGTTTTGGTTTCAGCCTCGCTGCCTAGAGCAGTAACTTTTCAGAATAAATTTCTTGTTATGCCAGTGACGTAGATAAACGATTATCGAGCAAAACCAGGGAGTTAGCCACTTGCTGTTGCCACAATGGTGTGTGTAGTGCCAGCAGGTGTCTCAAACAGTTATCTCATCAGAAAGTGCCAGGATGATTTCTCGTCTGTGCGGCTCCCTGTTGCTCCTTGGTTTGTTAGTCCACTGTCCACTGCCGATGCCCTGTTTGAAGCCAGCGCCTGGAGGAGCATGTGCTGTGAGTGCTGCGTTTGCTACGCAGGTGGCCTGTCTCTGGATGGGTGCGCTATCAGGCAGCGTCTGCCATTCTGCAGGCAGCAGAGGGCGGTAAAAGTGTTGCAGTTGCGGCTCTCCGCTGTCTTGCAGCGAGCCGCACGGGCTTGGGGGCATCGCTGAAGGATTTGAAAACGGAGCTCCGGGAACTACAAGATGCCCTTCAAGAATTCGATATGTCTGACGACTCAGCTTACACTGCGGATGTGGAAGGTGCTGCTGCCGCTGCAGCGGATTTGGCTTACTATATTGGGGCCATGAGCCGCGCCTCGCACTTGGGCAGAGTTGTTCTGGGCGCTTTGCAGTGTGGACTAAGTACTGATGGCAGCTTGACAAAAGACCAGCGACAGTTCTTCAAAGCTCTGAGACCAAAAGCACAGTTAACTGCCTGCAGCTTTCTTGAGGTAATTGGGGCCTCTCCACCAACGGCGGCCATTTGCCGGGGCGCCAAGGCACTTTTGAAAGTCCCTAGTTGCGTGGTCCCTCGCCCCGATTCACTTTCACTGACGTCTGAAGTTATGGCCCTTCAAGCATGGACTAGCCTTCTGCTGCCTGCAATTCAGCTTGCTATGAGTGCAGCTGCGCTTGAGCCTTCTCGTGAACAAGCAACAGCATATGCTAGACGAATAGCCAGGCAGGCGCTGCTTTCGCCAGCATTTCGTGCCCTTGGCCATTGCGCTAAAGAGGCAGTCCAGCAAACGCTTACTGCTACGAGTGATGCGCCATGTGAAGCGACGAGCATCTCAGTCGCTCTCATGCCCCTGCTGCAGTGCCTATCTCAGCAGCTGCTTCCAGCAGCTAATGAAACCGGGAGTAGCGCACACAGTGTCCCGGAACAAGACGAAGATGGTGAAGAAGAAGCGTTATGCCGTCTTTCTGAGAAATGCCCGGAGCTCTTTGAGGCGCTCATTAACTTATATGGGGCGTCCACATCTTACGTGGACATTTACCTTTGCCAGATCCTTATGCTGGATAGCGCAGGCCCAGAGTTGTGTGGCCACACCACTGAACAGGGGGGACCAGAAGGGCAGCAAGAAGGGCATTCAAATGAGTTACCTACGGAGACGGCAGGGGATCCTGCCGGCAGCTACGACGTCTTCTCTAATTTGCACAGGTGGATGGCACATCTCCCTGACTTCCGGGAGGTCTCAGAAACAAAACTCAGGCAGCAGTTGACGCCTCTTAGCAAGGGGTTTATTCTCGGGAGCCCTTGTGATTGGTTAGCCCTTGACCCGAGGCGCGTTAAGGATACACTGGAAAATTTTGCTTTCCACGCAAGGATTGGAAGAACCAGGGAGCCTCCTGATACGCGCATGCGAGGACAGTCGCTTTCTGAAGAAATTTTAAAAGCACAACAGAGACTTCTGGAGTCCGCGCTGAAGGCGCGTTCGATGTTGACCAGAGTTGGCGAGCGTGAGGCAGCTGATGGCATGGAGGGTGATGCAGAGACAGCTAATGGCACAGAGCATCGGCAGGCAGCAGCTTGCATGTCTCGTTGCCTGCAAGGCTTAGCGCTGACTGTGGGTTCCGGGGCTGCGTCCTTTGCCACTGCGGAAAATAGCGCTTACGACGTTGCTTACGTCGTGCCTTATCTTGCCGGGCGACTGACGATGGCGTGCTTCGTTTTGTTGTGGCGGTGGCAAGTGCTGCTTGAAGAGGAGCAGTCTTACCAACAGCAAGCACGAATGCAACGGGAGGAAGAGGGGTCCATGGACCCAAGTGTTATCTCCTCACGGGCCGCCCTGGAGCGGCAACGGCCCGTTTGTGCGGCGGAACAGGCACGGAGAGCGTGCGGTGTTGCAGGAGCTTGGCTGCGCTCCCTCAAAGACTCGCAGGGGAACTGCAAGGATGGCGCTGCTACACTATATGGCCAGGAAGCTTCTCAGACGGCAGCAGTACATTCAGCAGAGACTGTTGGTGCAGTGGCCCCTGAAAGTGCCACAGAGGACGTGAGTTCCATAGCAGCAACAAATCCAGAGCCACTAAAACGACGGAGGGAGGATATTTGGGAGATGGATGAATTCGACCCCGACGTGGTGCAGCGAGCAGTCACGCGAGTCAGCACATTTTTGAAGGCTGCTAGGCGTATTGGGCGCTTTTGGCGACCCTTAGATAATGATTCAAATGCAGCAGGAAGAAACAAAGCTACGGATAGAGAGGTGGCGCAGGCATTAGAAGTTTGGGGTGCTTCTGTAGATGACGGCGATCAGTGGCTCAGCAGCTTTGCCAGTGGGGGGAGCTTGCAGTTGCTAATTATGGCTCTTGGCTGCCCAGTAAGTTCATATGTTCCCTGCTTGAGTAAATCGTTTGGCATTTGCTGCTATGCTCAGCCTCGTGAGGCGAGAGACAGTAGTACTGAGACCTCGCAGGTTTGAAAAGGGGGTACGCACAGGCGTTGTCAAACCGAATGATAGGTCTTCTAGGAAGTACTTCAACTTTTATGTGCGTTTCGGACTTTTCCATAGGATAAGATGACGAGGGAAGCTGCTGCGCACGGCCTTTCCATGTACACGCACCTCCTGCAGCTGTCTGCTGACCGATCGCTGCTGTGCCACTTTGCGGACGTCCACGAGTTTAAAATGCAATGCAGGAAACGTCACGCAAATGCTACGTCGCAGACTGTTAAAAGGCGCGACATCAAGCAACGGCACAAGGCCGCCACCTTTGCCTTTCGAGCAGTCAAACAACTGTTGACCCTCCTAGGCTCCCTCATGGCCTCCATTCAATCCCCAGAAGACCTCGTGGACAAACAATGCAAAGAAAGCTCTGCACTGGAAGCCAGAACAATGCCAGTACGGTTTTTTGAGCCGCTATGCTGCGGCTTTGAGTGGGTTCGACAGGTGGTGCCAAGCTATGCCAAGCTAAAGATGAGTTGCCTCGTTTTGTTGTTTGTGTTCAGGTTGTTTCGCCGGTCATTTGCGCCTTTGCTGCTGCAGCTGTGCCGCTTCTCTTTCTCCCAGACCTTTCGTTGTATCCCATAATAAATTACGCTGTTATAAAGCATCCTGCTCTGTCTTTGCTGCTCCAGGATCCTTGTATGCCCCTGACACTAGCGGCCTTGCGGCAGCCTCTGCTGGGGTCGGACGGGATATTTTCACGTTTACTGCTGTCCACCTCAGTCGCAACTTCTGCAGCGCAGAAGCAGTTTCTGCTGGTGGCTTTGAAAAGGGCAATGGCAGTGTCACAGTGCCCTGGTGACGGCTGCATCACGCTGAGCTCGAGGCTGAAGGCTCACAAGGCAACCCAAGCCGTCCTTCCCCCACCTGCCCTGCTTGCCCAGTCCACGCTGCCACTGATGTCAGGGCCTACCCTCAACCTCTCTTTGGTTCGCAGCATACTGGAAGCTCTTCTACTGGCAACGGCTGCCCCCTCCTGTCTTTCTGCGTGCACTTGGTGGCATCCGCATGCTGCCTTCATCCTAGTGTCAGCTCAAACGAGGAAAGACGAACTTCATGAGTTCGAAGGGTCGGGCGATTCGCACGTGATGGCACATGTGCATCTTCCACTCGCGACAGTTAATGCACAACACCTGCTGCAACGATTTGGTATTATATTGTGGCTCGAAGCACAAATAGAGACAGCTCTTTCATCCCTTGTAGGGCTTCGTGAATATAGTGGAGCGAACCGATCAGCAATAAGCGACTGCGCATGCGGAGGAAGCCACCCGGTGTCCATACTGCCAGTAAGAGAGCATTTACTCAGCGAACCGCAACGCGTTAAGGGCTGCTGTAGAGGCAGTAAAACGCAGGCTCTCCATGGCATCAATGCAGGAAAGTGGGTGCAGCATGTGAGGGACTGCACGCGTCTTCTCTGGTCAGTGATTACTGCTGCCACTTTGGCTGCACCACTGCCTGAATTTTCCGCAGCAGAAAGACGCCTGTGGGATAATGCGCACTGCAGCTTCGGCCTACGCTCAACTGATGGAAAGTGTATTCACAGCCCCTCGTGTGTTTGCAGCAATTTGCCTGCAAGGTGCTTTGGCTATGATACTTCGGCGACGCAGGCTTCGACTGACAACTTTCCAGGGGCCGCAGACTCCGAGCACAATGGAGCATGCTGGCCGCTGGGTAGGGGATACGCCGATGCCCAGCTGTTGCAGGCTGTGATGGGAGCACGGCGCCAACTCTTCAAGCTGCGTCGATCAGCGAAGACAGAAATGGGGGAAGATCATGGCAACTGCGATGCAACAGTCAATGTAACTTCGGTCTCCAGTAGTGCTGATGGTTTGTTTCTCCACTCAGCTCGGCAGCTACAATTAGAGCTCCTACAGGGAATCCAACGCCTTGCACGTGCATGGCTTGCATTCGCAGTGCCCATAGGTGCGCGTGCAGAGGCTTCTGACGGCCCCATGGAGGGAAGACTGGGGTTTGCCGACAGCGCGGCATGGGCATCAGACCTCCTAGATGCGTCGGTCACTTGTTTATCAGGGCTGTGGGCTGTGGCCGCTTGCAGTGAGTCCCTTGGCTTAATTTCTGGCCCGAGCACTGTCAACGAGTCTGCGAATCTTTCCCAGAAACAACTGAAACTCCAAGCATCTGCATGCTGTGCGGATGTCCTGAGGCTTTGCGCCCGGGCAGCCGCCCTGCAGGAGGACAGCCTCATGAAACACTGGCAACTACCGAAGCACAGTGGAATGTTCGGTCTCTCCTCCCGCCCACTATGGAATATGGTATTCACCCATATTTGCAACAGAGGTTTAGGGCCGGAGGGTTCAATTCTTCACAGTCAGGGAGACGCTGCGGCAAAAAGCCGCTGCGTGCTTCTTGCGCTGCTTCAAATAAGAAGCATGTGCGGATCGGATGCTCACCTGCAACAGCTCATTGCGGTTGCTGCAGGGCTTTGAAAGGGCAGCTCCGCAATTTTTTTGATCTTAGCTGGCAATATGGCTAAGAAGCAAACCTAAAATGCGGGTATGCAAGCTATGGTATCTACGGCATAAAAATTGTTTGCCGGGTCAAGCAACTTGCATTCTCACGCTCCGTGTGGCTGATCGAATGTTCCCACAGGAAAAGCTTGTGCAATTTACGGATTATCTTTGACATAAGAAGAGCAGGCAGTGTAATGCAGAAAGCAGCGCTGAGTGCCGCAGCAGCCTCACGGGTTTTCAAAACCCAAGATGCGCCGCCCGACGTGGAAAAGTCTCCGCAGTCTATGCTCTTAGCCTTAGTCATAAAACTAACAGCGTAGTGAGGAAGTTTGCCATCCAGTGCGCAGAACCAAAGAAAGATGACAGCGGCATCCATAGAGGGGTTTGCTGCTCTTTAGCTTTGCTTGCGTGGGCGGCTCACGTCTACTTGGACTCAGTTGCTATCACCACTAAGTGGCGGTGCATTTGCCGCTGCCCGCAGTCGAGTGTCTACGGGCCCGTCAAAATTTTGCCCACTCTTTCCTGCATTGACAGTGGCTCCTGCAACAGTCGCAAGACCCCTTGTTCATCAAAAGCCCATAAAGCCTGCTCTGCCAGGGTTGGACTGTGAGTGCAGCTCTCCAGAATGGGTCCTTCTGAATCGCTGACGTCTCCTGCTACTGCTTTGGGAGTTTGGCTGAGAGACGATGATGCCCCAACTTGATCCTCAACACTTGCAGCTGTGCTTCGTTTCTTTGCTAGAGATACCGTCAAACCTCTTGGCGTCAGGCTGTAGCCCCAGCGCTTGCGTATTCGATTTTGTAGCGGCCGATATACGGATGCGCAGCATCGAGCAGCGAGAGTGGCAAATGGGAAAGCGCGAGGAGGGACTGCTTGAATAATAATCTGCAAACACACCATACACATGAAATGTCTGCTGTAGGGAAGACTTGTATCCGTAAGGTGCGTCAGGCTACTTGCCACCTTCCGTGGCGCCGACCATAATTCGTCAAGGAATATCGAAAAACGATTGCCGTAGTTTTAGTGCGTTCGTACCAATCTGTAGGTTTCTTGACGCCACGGAAGCCTTCCGGCTGCGTGTGTTGTATTTGTCCTCGCATTATCGCAAATGATTTCCGTGACTAGGCCACGTTGTTTCAAAGCATCTACGACACTACAGTGGAGCTTTTGACGCATCATTTTGTATGCCTCAGACACTTTGTCCCATTGTCTCTGTACCCAGTTTATCTGGTCGGGTCGTGCACCGTGACCACCGCAGCAGACGAGATGATCGAGGGCTGGAGGTAGAACATTCTCTTCAGTCCAGCCAGGCAGAAGCGACACCTGCAGTGACAGAGGCGTCAGTTTCGTGTTTTCACCGTGAAAAATGCCTCCACCAAGTGACGTTACCGGCAAAGCTTGGAACTCCGGGGGGGCGAATGGCCGTGAGCAAGCGTTTCCCTTGTCCGCAGGGAAGTCTAGAGGTAAAGACGGAGTGAGTTCGTGTGTATCCCTTAGGCAGCGCAGTACCAACAGCAGCTGCTGCTGCCACTCGTCAAATTCTGTGGCGTCCATAGCGGCACCAAATGCATCTGCGTGGATAATGCAAGCCCTGCTGAGAACCGTTGGGAAGAGCTCTGCAATTCCAGCGACATCCGGAGTCGGCGAAACCTCAGAAGGCTCGGCGACGTCTGCCACTCGTGAAGGAAGAGACACGCGGCTGTCAAAATCCGGTCCCCTACTCGTTTCTGATCTCTGCGCATGAGCAAGAAGTCCACGCAGGGCCTGCGCGCTGTCTACGAAGAAGTTGTCAAATAAAAGAGCCGCGGTGCGTCGGGATACCCCAGGCAGTCTGCTGAGGTCTCCGAGGGCTCCTTCTCGAACAACACTTCTCCTAAGAAGACACAAACCGTGGTTATAATACCGCAAGCCTGCCAAATAAATGTTTTAGTTATGCTCACAGTCAGGCGCAGTGCAACAAATGAAGCGTGTACATGCTCAATGGTTCACTTGGCCGAGGACTATTAAAAATATTCTTTGTGTTTTCTGTGCTTCCCGCGCCTCGCCCTTCTCCATGAGACGAAGCGCTGCCTCAACAAAGACATCTAAAACCGTTGACTGAGTGAAACCTATTTGAACTCACGACTTTTTGATAAGCCCAGCAACGCCATGAGACAGCACCGAGTGAATTTTCTGGAGCACTGCTGAACGGAACGCGCCACGCTTAATTATGTTCAATTCTTCGCCACGGAGAATCAGGCCTCCTTCCCGAAGCAACAGGAGGACTTCAGCAATACTACGAATCGGAATCCGTGACCCGTGAATAATTTCAAATGCCTTCAACAAGGGCCAAGCACACAAAAGCAGCTATAAACCATATTAAACGGGACCTGTCTTGGTATTACGGAGTTCGGACAGGCGCTGACCATTATCACTTAGATTGCATCCGTTGTTTGTGTTATATCGCGCTTGATATTTAGATGTCATTCATATTTCACTACATCAGCTGCGCCACTGTCTGCTCATGTGCTCTTCCCGCGGTGACGCACTGTCTTGTACGCTCTTGCTCTGAAAGCGCTACTACCTCTACGTCCCAAAATATTCTCATCTCCCGCTGTGTAAAGCGGTGCGCTAGCTCTTCTCTCTAAGCTTTGCTGTTGCGCTTCCTCCTGGCGATGCTCTAGATGCCTTTGTCTCCAAAGCATGCTGAGGCTTTGCAGTATTTCCTCATTTCTACGAGCAAAGCACAAACTAAAGCACATAGGAGCGGCATCTCAACACCAGTATAAAATCGAATTGCACAACGACGGGTATCAACGGAATGTTCCAGTGTCTCCAACGCGCAGCCCAACAGCAGCACTGCTTCACGTCACCCGATAGTTATTTCGAGCTTTCATTGGCTTACTTCGCCGTAGGTGAGGCTCTGCAAATCACAAAAATAGTAATACACACGCAGCAAGCAATTATCTGCCACTACATGCGAAAAATTTGGGGTCCCTGATGGAGGCCAATTTCTCCTCAGGTGGCATCACAACTGCCATGGTACAAAAGGCCACTTACGTCTCCTTGGCGATTTCCAGAAAGCGTTCATCTAGCCGGCTCAGCGCCTCTTTGAAGGCGTGTATATCTCTTGGATATAGCTTCCGCTCGTGTGAGGCGAGACTACATTGTGCATCGTCTCCTCGTGGAGACGCATGGGGGCCCCAATAGGGGCTAAACGGGTGACGGAGCGCAAGATAATTTTCAGAGCGACACAAAGGGTAATTGCTGAGCCCAGATGCGCTGTTGAAGGCCGGCGAATTTCCCTCACGAAACCACCTGCCGCTACTGGCATTGCAAACGGCATGCAGATCGCTTCCTCTTGGTTTGGACCACTGCCGCGAACTCTTTGCTTTGCTGCATCCCTCAGCTGCAGTGGTCGCATGCAGCTGCGTTTCGCCCTGTGTGCGAAGGAACAAAGTTCCGCCTCTGGCACGGTGCTGCAGATGTAACAGGTCCCACGCTGCTCGTGAGGAACCGTCTGCAGTGCTTCGGTGCTGGGCAGAGCCGCTTGAGGCATCGCTGCACAGTGACCAAAGCAGATCGGGCTTTTCTGGAACCTTAGGGAGATAGGCACTGGGCGGAAATGAAAGCGTCGTGAAGGCGTATAGGCCTAGGGGTCGGTCGTAGGTAGTTGCGAGAGTGCGCAATGTGACCGCGAGGGACTGTGCGCTGAGCCATCCTATACAGAGAGTGTAATGTGCCAAAAAGATTGTCCGAAGGTGCTTAAAAGCCCCCATACTCCGGGTAAAAACCCAAACATCATCCCTTAGGTAACGATGGGATGCGACGCTCACCTCACGAGGCAGCCGAAAACATGAGGAGGGCAGCTACCTCCATCACGTCAAACCCCTCAGATGACGTGGAGTTCAATTACCTTAATATTTGACAAGTGTAACACGCATGAGACATTAGCAGGGACCAACATGCATGGAACCATGGTGCTCCGCTTGACGCAGCATACTCAGCTGCAGAGTGACCCCAAATAATTAATGTGAAGAAGCGCCTCTGCCGGCAGGCTGTCCAGGATAAAGTGGCATCTGCATCTGTAATGAAGGCTCAAGCCTTGGAGTCGAGGAGACAAACAAATACCGAAGAAAGGGACAGATCTAAGTCGTTACTGCAGCACCAGCTTGAAATCGATGTTCGAGTGTGTCTGCTGACAATGGGCATTTTGTGCGTGGGATATGGTATCTTCTAAAGTCTATAAAATCTGCCAGTTATGACATATCCAGCACTATGATGAGCGAGCTTTTATGCTCGAAGCTGCATGCAGCAGCGAAACATAGAATGCATGCAATTAAGGCACTACATTGAATAGGGGTATTTGGACCTTCGGAGACCTCGGTGCTTTTGCTCAGAGTAAAAACGATGTTCTATAAAGCCTCACTGAGCGAGTTGTATATCCCCACATCTCCTCTGTCAACCGCGCGAGAATGCCACTGGCGAGCAGTGTCTTTCCTGGAAATGCTTGGCAAGGCATGGGCCAGTCTATGGGCTAAGCTCTTCTTTTAGCATTCTGAGATTATGCTGTTTTTCGTGATGGAGCCGTTTTAATCTATTCGCCAAAGTTGCTGACGGCTCAACTGGATTGGGGGCCCACACGATGTTGCCATGGGGAAGTATGCACATTTGGTGTCCCGGCTTGTGAACAACACACAGCTGAAGATAACACAGACAACCAAAGTGCTCCCTAGACAACTGTTAGATGCAGCACTACTGGCTCCGGCTGTTCCCAAGGTAGCTGCCTCTGCCGCATATCGATTTCAGGCCAAATGGGAAGAAAAAGTTGCGATGGCTGCAGAGCCTATTTCAAATAATGATGGATCCAGCTTTTCCTCAAAGCACAAAGAACCTCATTTTGTGTTGCCCGAAAACAAAGGTTTGTCCACCTGCAAAAGCCCAATCGAAATAGAACGCGCAAAAGCAGAACGCACATGGGAACTCCTCGAAGTACATGCATTGCTGGCTCTGCCGAGTCTAAGGTAGGCAAGGCACTTGGTAACAGCGGGTTTACATCGCTTCTGGACATAGTGCCTGTCCGAAGCTTACGGCGTTTTAAAAATTGAGCTCTGTGGAAAATGGCGCGGCGTTTCCTGTGCCACTCTCCAGTCCCGCAGGCATCCTTCAATTTCTCTTCTTGGCGCTGCGTGGAAATTTCACCCCAAGGAAATTCTTACTAGAGGCGAGGCACAAAGATCCTTTATTTTCACAGTAGCACGCATGTGTGGCATGAGATGGAGAGGTGCTGGCCCTGCAGCAAGTGCTTGAAGTGAAACCCGTGAGGCTGCCAAGATGTGCTGTGCTGGGCTCAGCTTCGACAATTTCTTCTTGAGGGAGAGCCTGCAGCCCCCCCTGTCGAAGCATTTTGGCTTTTGTGGACGGCAAATGACTTGGCACTGCTCTGCAAGTTACTAGTTGAGTACGCAAAGTCCCACGCGCTATGCTAATGTATGTCTCATCAAGATCTGCAGCTACCACATTTTCTTAATAGAACGACGTTGCTGTGCTTTCCACTGTGAACAACAGGCACAACATCGAAGATGCGATTTTGTTCGCAAGAGTCGGGTTTCAAATTGTCGCTAATCTGCAGCATTTCCGTCCTGGAGATGTTGCTCTCGTTTTAGCTGCTGCAGCTACGGACTCATCGGTCCAGCTCAGAGATGTTCTGCTGCAGCCACTACATGTGCAACTCTCGCAATTTCCGCTGCTCTCTGAAGGCGAAATGGAATATGCTGAGGCTCCAACAGAGCCCGCAAATATTCCAGATGAAGGGTGCCGATCGCGGCCCCATGAGTGCCTGTTTGAGTCTCTGTTAAAGCGTCTAACTGCGCAGGTAAGCCTGCATGATTTTCATGGCATTGCTGCGCGGTAGAGAGACGCAGCATTCAAATTCTAAGTGTAGGCTGTGTGCTGTGAAACGCAGTTAAACCAAGCTGATCTAAATGACTGCGTGCGCGCGTTCCTTGCGGCTCTCCGGATTTTCACTGCCACCGTAAGCACGCCGCAATGCAGCAATACACCCTGTGACGCTTCAAGAAACCCTGCTTCACAGGTGTATATTCGACACCAGGTATCGCTGCGTTCTTGTCTGGTCCACGGACCCGGTTAACTTGCGCATTTGATGCGGCTTCCGTGTTTCCTTTGCAGTCGTATAGTAGCTTGCTCCAAGCAGGCCACAATGGTGCGCAAAATAGCCACCCAGGCGCTTCGTCAGTTGTTTTGGACTCTTTGTGCTGCTTAGTGAATCATTTGCACCCAAATGTGTCAAAAGTATCAACCCGCGCAAAGCTGTGGTAGGTCACAGCTAAAAGAGCACAGCAGCGCCGCGGCCACCGCTCTTTTGGTATACGGCAACGCTTGGGGTCTGAACCATTGACCCAGTCTGTTGGGCTTTAGCTACGGTGTTGCTCGCAGCATCATCACTGGCTGCGTTGGAGCGTTGCATTTCCTAAAAGAACCCGAAGCCGTGTCGATGGTCACACTGTTAAGTGCTGTGGACACCGCGGTCGAAGTGGGGAGAGAGACACTCGCAAGCCATCGTGGCAGTAGTCCTTCAAACGACAAATTCAAAGGTGGCGGCAAGAATCTGGATGACGTGTACCAATCCAGCAAGGCTGCTATTTTGCGTAGTAGCTTATTTTCTGTTCCTCACTCTAAAACTGTCGCTCGGCGAGATGACAGCGCTGACTGCCTGCGGAAGCTTTATGCGAACCTTGAGGCAACTGAACTCGAAGTCGCGGTTCGCAATGCACTTGTTTCCTCCATATCATCGCTGTGCGCGTAAGGGGCCTCAAGTTCAGCTCGAATCACAATGACACTCAGCTTCCGATATACAAAATCCTGATTAACATGGGCAATGCGTCAACTAGCAGAAGTTTAGCGTTTTTGGTTTGAGGAGCGATGCGTACAGCATACCTGGAGATTTGAAGCCTGCAGAAGCAGTAGTCCTCTTAGACATGCTGTGGCAACTCCGCATGTACCACAGTTTCGCCGTTCCGTTTTCCTGCGTGAACGGTACGCGAGTTTGCTGCTAACGCTTGCTGCATTCTTGTGGCTACACGTGCGCGTAGTGACCCGTTTGGCAGCCGAATGCTGTGTTTGGTTTTCAGGTGCCTATTTTCAACTGTTAGCGAACATCCATCAGTTGTCTGCCCGTCAAGTCATAGCGCTTGTGGCCTGCTTTGAACAGTGCCACTCCAAGGCCGGTGACGAGCACAGGCACTCTCCCCTTGAAGGAATATCAGGAAGTAGCCCCACGAGAGTTCCTAGCGAACGGCACTGGAAAGAACTGGTAAGAGCAGAGACCAGACGGCTAGCTAATGGGCGTTTAGAAACTTTCTGAGCACTCCGATGCTCCAGCGTGGCATTGTGGCATAACGGCTTGGGTGACGTGAATTGATTTGGTGCAGGCTAAATTGACACAGCAACGTATTCGTGAGAAGATCATAGACAGCAGCCTCAGTTTAACAGATCAGGTCGGGCGCATCCACTTTATTTCGGGAATTTCCATTGTACACCTTCCGCTCTGGAAGTGGCCAATGCTTTATGATTATATATGTTATAAGTAAATAGATGTGTGTACATATGCACTGAGGGCAGGAACGCACCTGTTACGGCAGCTCGCACTAACGGTAGCAGTTAATTACGCCCCGCCAGTTATTCCCGTTTGCACAAATGCATCTGTTTTATCATCGCAGGAACGTCTGGTGGCGAAGTGTTTGCAAGAGTGTCACACGTTTTAATGCCCTCCACGGTCGCTTCCATCCCATCCAGTGTTGTCATCATCTGGCTTAGGTCTGGATGAGTGAGCCTGATTCATTATCTGAAGAACATCCGGCAGTAAAGAATCTCTAGATGTAACGCTGTGGGGCACATTAGGACAGCCAGCCTTCCCTGCGTATGGGAAATGCAGGGTTCCTAGTAGGCAGCCGGTAGCAGCGGAAATACGAATTAGGGCAAGCAGCGCACTGCGAAATACATACACTCCTTAGGAGAACTCTCGTCCAAAGATTAAGCTTCACCGTGCCATGCTTTGCCATTTTTTGTCGCCATATGTTTGCACAACGAAACCCAGCTTTCAGAGCTTTTCAGTAGACAACATGTAGCGCGTGAGCGGGAGGTGGTGAAAACAGAAGGCACGTGGCTTATGTCGCAAAGCGCGTTTTGGGGTTCGTAGAGGCTATAAAATCAGATATTGGATCTCGGCCCACAGAAAGAGGCGTTGTCCAACATGCCACTGGACACAGCCCCACTTCGATGCTGTGACACAAAATGGTCCTCAAAAGCGCGAGAGGAGCAATTTGGTTATTTCGTTGCGAATTTCAGTTGACATTTGACCTTCTCTTAGGTCGTTCTGCGGACTCTTGGACACGCCCGATGTGGCAATTGTCGGTACCAGCTGTGCAGTTTGCGACAGTGTCCAGCCAGTTAGGTGGATTTTACGGTAATCACGCGGTCAAGCATCTACACACCTCAACTCTAGTTGTTTTCTTTTAAATGCCATGGGATAGCAAGTGCCTTTCATATTTTTAAAGACAAAGCTCGAGGCCCGTAACCCCACCAACCGGCGCCTCCTTGCATGAGGCGGTGTCGCGTGGAGCTCTATCACGGCATCTATTTTTTAAGAGCTTGACCAGTGTTAACATTGGCCTAGGAAACTGCATCAAAAGGAAAAAAGGGTCTGCCAAGCTGCGTTCACGGTGCTATCCTGCTCGACGGACTACAGCTTGCGGACCAGACCGGTGGCCTACTTGCGACAACAACAGTAATTTATGTGAATTGAACGACGTAATGATTAGCACTTGTGATTTACAGATAATGTCTTGTTATGCTTTAGGTACACCGGCGCTCGATCGTTTGGGGGGCCGGGGCTCCTGAGGAATCCGGACTGCAGGAGATGATGGCCATAGGGTGCTCCAACCCTGCTCGTGGTGCTGACGAGGCCATCGCGTCTAATGCATGCCGAAGCAGCGCCAGTAAGAATTTTGCTTGCTTATCGGTTATCCTTCTGCATAGTGTGGAGGGAGAGGGTCAAATACTATGGCTGCTTTTAATCATCAACATCGTGCAGACGCGGGAAGAGTGGGTGGGGCAACCGTTCTGTCTCAGAGAACCCTACCATATCGCCTTGCTTGCTCCATGTCCGAAGTTCTGCATGTGTGCTTATAGGCACAAAAACAGTAGAAGGTTTGTCTTTGGACCCGTTTTTGTCCGCTCCCCTCCAACCTGCCTGTCGACCGGTGCGGGCATCAGTCCTGTGCTCCGTCCCTTTCTGGAGTGCTCACCAGTACATGACAGAGGATACAGAGGGTTGACCAGTCAGGCAGTAGGTCCGTCTTTATGCGTTGTGGTGCCACTTAGGTAACGCTTGGTCCGCAGCGTACAGTGGACAGTGTCTAGGCTCAATTGTGTGGACGGCAGGCATGCCGACCCTTCGAGCCACTTGAGCCACCTGATCCCTTGTTAATTCTTCAAAGCTTGATGTTGCCTGTCCATACAGGCTAATTCAAAGTGTATAGAAGCCCACAAGATTGTTTTGCTCGTGAATTCCCAATGGAACGTCTCCAGCAGCCAGGAGCGCCCCGTTCTTCAATGGGGCCCACGCGCGTTGAGGAATCTTCTCCTGCAGCGTCACGAACTCCCGGTTGGACTGTAGGCATGCTCAGAAGCGTCACGGAGCAGTGGAAAATATCCGGAGCTCCCGAGTCTTTCTGTAGAGATGACCAGGCCTCCTCAAGCCTTCCGCAGAGAGGCCAGGCTACGGCGGACCAGGAGCATAATCCCAGTGCAGACAACTCCCAAGAATTATCATGGCATCAGTCTTTAGGCTGTGAATCATTAGAGCTGCCTCAGAGAGGCTACCTGGAATCCTATGCTACAGGATCCAGCTGTGGGACAACTTGCGGGAGCATGGGCACACAGAGCTCTTCGGCATCACAGTTTAGTGCCGCTTCCCCATCAAGAAGTGTAGATACTGTGTTATACCAGCGCACGATAAATGCTGGTAGCTGGGCGTATTTGGAAGACTGCCACGCGTCTCTCGGCTCGTCTGCAGCTTCGGTATCGAGGAGTAGCGGATCTCCAGCCTACGGCCCTTCGGCCTTTAATCATCTTCCTCATAACACTGCTGTAACGTCGGCAGGTGTTCTCCCCTACACTGTTTTAGAGGAGGAGCTGCCTTCCTTACAAGTGGTCCTAAGGAGCAACCCGTCGGTAACTTTCGCGGAGAGGCCGCAGGAAAGTGGATCTCGACTTGGACCTCCAGGTATTTTGTCGTTGCTTCTCGCATGATGAAGTAACCGACTTTCTACTGGACCTTGTGTTCCTGCTGTGTACGCGTGTCTCAACATGGTCAGGCCACTCGACGTCACCGTGTCGGTCCGCGCCCATGCCGAGCTGCAAGCGGCGCGATGGCGCATCTACGAGGCAGAGCGTGCACACGCCTAGCACGCACACCGTAAGATGCGGTCCCTTTGGGCCCAGGACAGGTTCCACGCCGATGATGACACCTGTTGGAGTTCCAGTGACGAGGCACTTTGATCCACTTCGCGCTTCACCGTTTGATCTTGCCAAGTTTGACAGGCGTGATCCGTATCGGCACTTTTATATACCAGTTGACTGTCCGTTAGCAAGGAGGTAAATTAGCTCTTTAAATGTGGGTGCAAGGCTCATTGCACGACGTGTTCTCATCCACAAATTAATTGTAGGCGTTGCTGGGAAAGTGTTGATTAATGAGCATGGCAGTACAGTTTTGCCAGATGAGTGGTTGTGCTCTTCGAGGCTAATGGCAGATGAGTTACCACGTTGAATGCCACATTGGGTAGTATTAGCCTTTATTGGTTGGATTTTGCAGATGCTGCAATGGCGTATGCCCATTGGCTCACACGAAGCTGGAGAAGATTTTCCATCCAATTGTATACAAAACGCAAGTAGGTCAATTGAAGTGCAAGAAATTGGCCATGCTATAGTATAAATTGTCGCTGGGCCCACTAGATGTTATGTGGTCTCCTCGAGTTCGCTACTTTTTGATTCTAGTCAGTATTCAGTTGCGAAATTGTTGCAGTTACTCGCATAGGTATTGGACAATTCGGGCACCTGTGGATCCGGTCCCTTTTCTGCGTGTGGGAGTGTTGTGGTGTTTTCACTAAGCAGAGGTGTCAGATGGCCCAGGTTGCTCAGACTGGTCGGTGCCAGTATATCCACAAGTGTGCATTTTTTCATACTGAAGAGGACAGGCAAGAAGCTGAGCTGCACTGGAAGGCTTGGGAAGCTGAGTGGGTTTCGTGGCGGCAGCAAATAGACAATCTCCTACTCAGGCATCACAAGCTTGAGAAGGAGATACGACGAAAAGTCGAGGGCATAATTAAAATCCGCATGCCTCGGCCAGGGTCAGGAGATGTTATTGGGAGATGTTTAGCTAATCTCGGCGTTTTGACCAAGTGCAATGAGCAGCAGAAGGCCTTTATTCAGCAGAGCTCCCGTGGAGTGGGGCCTGGTCCCAAGGATTCTGGACTAAGCTCGGCTGTTTCGTCTACAGCAGAGAAAAATTTTGCGGAAGTTGAGGGCACGAATGATGGCGTTTCTGGAGTTGCACATTCAATCAAGAGGCAATCAGGCGCGCCGAACCCACCTTTGGAGAAGCAAGGGGGTTTCTGCAGTGTGACTGAAGGCACGTTGTTTGGCTGTAAGGCCCCTGTGACGGCAATTGGCACAACTAGTCGTGCAGCCGCGTCCCAGACAGAATCATCTTTGTACACGGGCACAGATTGGTCGTATTCAGGTTCTGGAAGTGTAGGGGCTTCGCATCAGTGCAAGCAGGCCGGTGGCCTTTGGGGCATCGTGAAGACCTCCAGTATCGGCACTTCCGGCATCAGCACCAGGTCAGTACACTCACGATCAATACTGTCCGAAGGCATGTAGCCTTTGTTTGTTGTGGACTTTTCAGATCATATTGTGCAACATCCTCTTAGCTGATCGGTGGCTTCGCCTTGGTGTACAGTTCTGTATGACCGCAAGCATTACAAGCACTGGAGACCTGCAAAACTCGTCTTATGTACTTGTGGCCGCAGCTCACCGGCTGTTTCAAAGGAACAGGGTTCATTGCTCTGGCGAGCAGAACGGGCTTCTGCTCGTGCCGTCTCCAAAGCTGAACTGGATTCAGGAGATAAGGGATTGTCTACGGTGACTTCGTCGGGAAGACAGCAAACTACGGCGGTTTCGACCCCCAACGCTGCTTCAGTGGTATCGGAAACGTCGAGGGTTTACGCTCGGTCTCAGAAGAAAGCCGGCTTTTGCCCAAAACAGCTCAGTTTCTCTTTGTGTAAACCGGTACATAAACTGAATTGCCGGAAGTTGGCGTATTCAGCAGAGCACCCGTTACTGGATTTTCTTCGCCAAGGACGGTAGAAAGTAGAGGCGCTGGTGCACAGAAGATGGCTGTCGGTTTCCTAGGAAGCGGGCATTTATTACTTGCTGTTGTTGTATCACGCTTCTTTCAGCAGAACAAGGGGTTGAGAGAACGGATACGTATGGATCTCCATCGTTTGTATTCTCTTTAATAGACTGAACACATGAGTTTTCCACAGGCTCATTCACGCGTGCACTGTCTATGTTCGTACTTTTCGCAGGCGACGAGTGCTGCGTGGCTCGGAGACGGCCAGAAATTGTGTGGGGCGAAGGCGGCATGGACGAAGGAAAGAGTGGCCAGTTTAGAGGCCCAGGGAGGCAGTGATGGAACGCTCCAGTGCTTGGAAGGAGCCTCCATCTGCAACTGTGGCCAGAACATTTCTGGCTTGGGAAGGACATTGACTGGATCTCTGACTGCACAAGACGAGTTCCTTGCAAATCAGGTACCCCTTGCTGTGTCAGAGGGTGAGGAGTCGGTCCTCCACGCAACACAGGCCTCACGGATTTTGCCTTACTCACTTAGTGGCACTCAGCTGGATGCGGTCCCCCAGCATGTGGTACAGAGGGAGTATGTTGCACGAATGGGAAAGCTTGGCAGCATCGCACCTCCGGGATCAAGGATATCTCGGGACACTTGCAACACCGCTTCTGTAACTTCTTCTCGCAGTGAACAGCGCGGTGGGGACAGAACACATGCCAGTAGGAGTTCAACCTTTTCATCAGGATATGATGGAAATACACGGCCAGAAGTGGAGAGAAAGTTCGACCCTGCCAACCTTCTTCCACTAACAGAGAGCCAGCTGGACGACTCGGGAAAAATATGTCTGGTTAGAGCACCGTACCGCTCAGCTGATGACGATGCACAAAACTATAAGTTGGAGGGGCCAGGATATGCCTCTTACTGGAGTTCAGAGGAACAGGCTGCAGAAGGCCGCATTGCTATACCAGAAGCACACAAAACAGTAGTCCCGTCAACGGAAATCGATACAGCTGTGCGCCAGCCGCAAAGTTCCCTCAGTAGAGACTGTGCGCCACTCTCTAAAGATGAGTGGCACTTCCTCATGAGGAATCTGAACCACCTGCTGCGTGCGGCAGCAGAAGAAATTCTACGCCTGGATGTTGGGCGGGTCCGAGACACAGGCAGCACGGATGAACGGCGGCAGAGCAAAGATCAAGTCAACATTGAGCCATCGGAGCAGATGGCGCATGATTGCACAGGTCTTCAAAACACAGGGCCTACTCACCCTGAAGCGACGCTAGCTGTTCAGGACACCAACGTATCTTCACCGTCTCGAGAGAGCAAGGTGCCAGCCGAATCGGATACAGGCTTTCAGCCACACCAGCACGCTCCAGATTGAGTCATTCCAGTCACTGGAGTTACTCTGACGAGCTTGCCAGTTGGGCGTAACTGCTTGTATGTGAGCAACAGCCGTAGGTAATCTGGTTGCTGTAAACGACCACAAAGTTTAAAGCGTTCGTGTACGCGTATCGAGGCTGTCGCGTTACAGAGTCCGGCAGTTCCACTGCATGAGTGTTGCTCTTTCATGGATGCGTTGCACTAGTTTTCTTTACTGCAGATGGAACCTTAGAGCCCGTATTGTTCTCTTCGTGTCGTGGCCAAAGCGTGCTGGCACCTGCGAGTTGCACTTGTGGGTCAGGTTCCCTGACTGCATTGAATTATTTGTTGTGTCAGCGTGGCGTGCCAGCGCACGATCGCACAGTTTGCGGGACTGTTTCTTGGAAGTCCCGCACACCTCTTGTGTGTAGTAGCACTAGGTGCCGACGTGAAGTCGGGTCATATAAATCAAAGAGGAAAATGCTCTGTCTTCGTCGTCTCGTTTCGTCACTTTGACCAATGTAATGGTTCGTGGGTCTAATTAGGGAGGAGTTAGGTACCTTGCAGTACTGTTCGAATGTTAGGCGCGCTCTCTGCGGAAGTGCTCCTCGTGAATGGGTGTAGGGGATTTCATTTCCGTGGACGAGTACAACGAAGACTGACATTGTGCGGGCTGGCGTTAATGCCTATCTTCGTAGCTGCAATGCATGGAGTTCGTAGCTGCAGCTCCCCGCTGGGTCGTACTACTGTACGAGCGTTCATTTCCTACCCGGAGTAGTATGGCGACGGGCTTCTCGGAGAGCTTGCACCGGCTGTAGACCTACTGCAGGTCTATAACGGCATAGCTCTGTCGTATTTCCAGCTCCTCATTTTATGTGAACTAGAGGTTTCAAGGGTCGCCGTTGCGCCCAACGCAGGTCAAATTTGTGTGTGCGTTGCCAACGGTGCGACCGCGGCAGCTGCCATATTCAGGCGCTATAGGCAACGTAAAACACATCTAATGCTGTATGGTACATAGTCCGGAGCCCCCTTAAAAAGGTGTATGCGCTTCTCGGCCTTCGATGCGCTCACTGTACTAGGTAATGGCGTAGGGTTCTTGACGAGTCAATCCAATAAGTAAAGTTGCTGTTCTCTGCGTCTGAGCCTAAAGCATTTCCCTACTCCTTCCGTGTCACCCCTCAACTTCGCCACTACACCGCATGTGGAGATACGCAGGGTACTACTACGGCAGGGGGCCTTCAAGTGCCTGGCAGCGTCCACTGGCAGGTAGAGCAGTGTAGAAATTCTATATTTTCCGAGCACGCCGCAGTTTCCAGTACTTGGCACACGCATACTGGTGGGACTTCGGACGGGCCGACACGAAAGTCCAGCGTGCTCCCAAGGAGCAAAATGGTCAATATCCATTGTAGTCATACTTTCCATCGGCGAGGCCGTCGTTCTTCGGAGGCAAGTGCTATAATTTGTCTTTTCTGCGTCTTAGCGCAGCCAAATGCCTTTATAACTACTGCGGTGTAGCACCTGTTACACCACACCGCGCATGTGCGGGTCCTTACCATTGCCAGCTACTATTCTTGGCAAATAATTATGTGCATCTGGTGGCCTGCTACAAAAGCTTAAATCTACGGAGGACTTCGCACTACGGAGGAATACAGGTGCTAATTTACGTCTGTCCCTTGTTCCTATTCTACCTTGAACTGAAGGAACTGGTTAGAACAAATGCGCCGAACTACAAAAGGTAATCCATCAGTATCGAAAGAGCCTCTTGAGGAAATACGGGTGCGGGGAGCTAAGCCGAGATGTTCACTCCTCAACAGCATCTAAAGAGTACTGCATGTAGCTTTGTTCTCACATGAGCGTACTGGTTCCCCTTTGGCATGCGTTTCCACGCCTTCCGTGAAATAATCAGTGTATTCTCAATGGCGCAGTTGTCCCTTAAGGTCTTTAAGGAAAGTCCAGCAACGGCGTTGCGTGAACTAATTTGCAGAGGAAAATATGAATCAAAAGGTACAGTGCCTCTTGACGATGCCCAATTAAAGTACACGCCATTCATAGTGCCTCCTTGATTTTTGGCCCGTAGGCTGTTGGCACTTAACAAAACGAAAGCACCTCTTCTCCAAACCGAGATAGTACCCCTGCACACAGCATAGGTTAGGTACACGCGGGTACTTACACTGGCTTGAAGATTTACTTCAAGCCATTATAGGTACCCGTTTGTACCTCACATTTGCAGAAGAGCAGATTTCTCGGTGCTGTTTTCAAAATTCCCTGGTGCGCCTGGGCCTGAAACAGCCCGGTAAATACAATCTTCTGCAGTCAAAAGAAGCCTTCGATTTGGAAATATAAGGACATATTATAACTCCCTCCAGGGACAATGAGTCTCGCAACTCAAAATATCAAATATCAAACTCTTACGGTTCAGCGCATGCAGAATCAAGACATGCCGATTTTCCCAGTTCACCGGCTATTAGTATTAGGGCTCTCATTCGCACGATTTGCTGCGTACCCAAATGGACTTCATTTGTCATGAGCTAATATGTTGTCACAAACCCACGAAAGAATAAAAAGGAGAAAGACGCGTGCTATAAAGTGGAGCTGGCCTGCATAAACCTAACGAAACAAAATGAAGCCCCAGTACCCATCATCTCCACAGATCAGAAATTGTGGTCGAGGCAACCCGGCTTAGGTCTACACAATCTGTTCTGATTTAATTGAAGATGTGAACGTTTGCACCACGTCAATGTGTAAGCACGTACTCAATTCTTGAGTGGTTGCGTCCGAAGAGGCCTCAGATTTTACCTGAACAAGCGTCCCCGCAGGTGCAGCAACCTACGTGGCTATTCTTCACACATCCTTGTAAATCATCACGTGCGACACAACTTTTGAAAATATGCTTGCAATCGGACAATTCAGGAGGCCCCGCTCCCCGAAGTTGGCGCCGAATATTCTGAGGAAGCGAGGTCGCAACATCGTTGGACCCAGCAGAAGGGCTGTATGCGCCCAGATACAAGCCCTGTATAAAGCAAAATACAGGATATTGAACATAAAACAGGTTGCTGAAGCTGTGCTAAGCCGAAGAATGCTGATCAGCAAGCATTGGTCAGCATTGGAGTTGTCGTGGGGCTGCCCAATGGTCCACAATTCCGTCGCCGAAGATCCGCTAAACGTACAAAGCTATGCTGCCTTTTCAAATTTTAATGGCCGATATTTAGACAGTTCTTGAGTTCTTCCGAGCCCAAAGCAGCAGAGGCAGCACTCATTCGGTCGCATTTTTGGCTTCCTCGCCGCAATAAGCATCATGAGCATCATGACTCATTGCAACTGTGGATCGCTTAACAGCATTTAACCTCAGTGGGCTTTAAATAAGTCTAGCCGTGATCCTGTAGGATGCTTTAGGGGCTAGCACCGTCAGTGTGCTGGCCGCGTGGACCTGCAGCAGGGACGGTCATCCCATTATACTGCTGCTTACGGTCAAAGGTCTGAGAAACTACCCTACGCCACCCGCACAAACTTGATAAAGAGGCGCAGCTCCCTAGAATAAAGATGGATCACCGGTGTGGGGAGTTGTCTGTCATTCAAAAACTCAAGCATGCGTTTGGAGCAGCGCTACTTCTGACATCCATGGTACTCTACATATTCGGGGCATCAGCTCCGGCCGTACGAATCGCCGGTACGCCAGTGTGAGAGGGATATTTTTGAGATTCCTGTTCCCCTTTCTTCCAATTGGAAGAACAATTCTGAACTGGAGCTTGAATTGGTGTTTTTCTGACTTTACAGATTGGCGTAGACTACTCTGGCTTGCCATGACATGTACTTTATTCTTGTTCTTCATGTAGCTTAGGTTGTCGGGAGTCTTCGGGAGTGTTCTGCATAGCATAGGCATACAGGGGTTCCCTTTATCTGTGTTGTCGTGATGAGATGCAGGCAGAGGCCCTGGGCTATCCGAAATCCCATTGGAAGCTCAGGATTTTTCAATGCCAGAGCTGCTGCGTCTACTTTTGCGTCAGGGCAATTACTTTCCATTCATGTGTATCATCACTTTTTCATTTGTTCTGCCGTTTATTAAGTTCATTCTCATAGCGGTTACGCTGGTGATGGCAACGTGTAGTCGTCGGCGCGCACATTTAGCTCTTCTGTCGCTGAAAATCATTAAGGTTCTTCGTGTAATATGTAAATATCAGCTTGTGGACGTATTTGCCATTGTTTTTCTGTTAACTTTTATCAACTTTGTCGGAATATCCGCAGAACCGCTTTCTGCAATTCGAGCGTATCAGGCGCACTGCGTTGTCTTCATCGTAACTACCCACTGGCTTTGCCACTGCTATTCAGAGACGCTAGAGCGACACCAGAAAAAATGTGACTTAGGTCGTTGCTGTGTCGCTCTCTCAAGTCCTCTGCTTGCAAGGAGATCGCCCGTGAATACCACCACTATCGACGGCCTGGCCCCTAATGACTATACCACACCGCTTGACACTTCAGAATGTTCGACAACATTCATGTCGAGCAGGCCGTCAACAGGCTTTTTTTACAACGAACAGAAATACCTGAAGAGGAGTGGCATAGCGGCATGCCACGGAGACGTGCAGCAACGTGCAGCGAATGACTCTCATTCTCTGCTGTCGGGCTATTTATCACCTCACCCAGTTGGCCTACCAGGAGATTTTTCAGGTCGCCCAAGTCCAATGAAGTTCCATCCTGAATTTGGTGGGAAAACGAATTCTAGAATAGAAGGGCCGAGTCTTGTGGGGCTACTTTTGGGCAGGGCGCCGCCGCGGGTCGACCCAGGTTCTGACGCCCTTTTCTCCCTGAGCGGTACTTTGAATGAAGCGTGCCTTCAAAATGCGCAAATTCTCAGCGGGCAGTCAGGAGTGCTATCCCAAACTGCAGGGGAGGAAGTTTCCAATGTTGACATGGGGCGCACCAACTATTTAAGATGCTCTCTCTTGGAATGCCGAGTACGGATTTTGTTCTTAGTACTTAGCTGTTGCATATTTTTTTTCTCTATGCTAGTTTGCTGGATACGAC